ATTACCAGCAGGTTAATTGTGAGGTGGTTAGGGGGGAGGGCACCGCGCTGCTGATGTACCGCAACCCTAAAATTGAATTATGTCATCCCCGCATAAATATGCATGAGACGTCCTCCCGGACGCTTCCTGGACGCGGCTCGCTAAAAACTCTCCAACAGATGGAAATTTACGATTCGCGGGACGGTCGACGAGAAAAACGCACCGAAAGACACGCTGTCGCGAATTGACAAGGAGTATCAATTTGCCCGTTTTGGAATCAATACATATGAATGCTTTAATCGGACTGGTTCGTGCGATTGATCAACGCCGAAAGATGTCGTAGCTCATGAAATTGGACAGGGGTCAAATTTACTTTTGCAATTAAAAGTCGGAAGCCTGTTTTCTGTTGGTATTAATCAGCGATGCAAGTCTTTCCTGATTCGCTTGGTTTTCCTTTCTAAGTCTTTGATATTTCTAAGTTTTTAATCCTTTCTAAGTCTTTAAGTTTTTGGAAGAGTAAAGATGACATGTCTTGATTTGAATTAATTGCTTGTTTAATTTGGAATTCGTTTCAGCTGAACTCGTTTACCTCCTTTTCGGGACATTTGAATTCCAATTTAAACAGCCTCCCGAAAAAATAATTCTTTCAGTTGACGCAACTGTTTTCTTCGGTTATGACAAATTTTGTTGTTACACTATCAGGTACGTACGACTCTTAATAAAAATGCATTTATAATTACAAAATCCCAAACTCCACTAACAAAAGCAATACCTTTATTCAGGAAATTCCTTGTGTGTATCTACAACCATTTGATTTAAGACTCCACAACGATTTCACAATTCCCGTAAGGAGATATGTTCGGATTTTACTTAAATGTAAAGACTGATTGAGAACTGAAGAAATCGAGGACTGGAAAATAAGGCACTGTAGAATTTCTACACTAATTTGGCCACTCCAGAAACCTTGCGCGAGCCTCTCATAATTTTCGACTGATTCTCTCGTAGAGAAGAGGAAGGTTCTGTCTCGAAGTGTATGTCCAGATAAACAATCGATATTACTCTAATTAATATACCTTTTATTTAATTAATAGTATATTAATTAATATACCTTAATATACCGATGTTACTCTACTGATATTTGCATTTCTTTAACCCAACTCATCGTTCGGAAATACTTGAAATTAAAAATTCGTTCGTAAGTCACGCACACGCATATTCCCTACGATTTAATCAGGAACTTCTTTCTCTAGACTTCTATCGGCGGCATGTTTTATGTCGGCTTTCTAATTAAACAGCTTATTTCATAATAGAAAGGCCTGCCATTGCAAGTTTCAAATTAAAGGCAAATCGTAAACTTGCGCTCTCTCTCTCTCTCTCTCTGTCTGTCTGTCTTCTGTCTCTCACATCATGTAAACAGATATGTTTGCGGTAGCATAAATTAAATTAATGTAACTAATTAAGAAAGTTAACCATTAGCGCTTTATTTCGCACGAATTGCTTTGTTTGAGAATAAAAGTGTAAGAGGTGCTTTGATCTTTTTCGATATTTCAATCTACCTGCTTTCGGCCTCGCCTCTTTTTTTAATCTACGAGTAGATGACTGATCTCGATAGGGATTTAGTTGACTAGATACCGATTCAATAACTATGTCAATTCATTCACAACTAAACGATCGAAAACCGACGGATAAAAGAACAGCGGTACTCTACTTTCTGGTAGTCGTATACCACGAGAAGAGTCGTTGTTTTTGGCTTCGGATCAGTAAAACTTTTTGCCGCGATCGATAGCTAAAAGGGAAGACTCCCATCGGCCGATTGCCAAGCAACTCCCAGCCATTCTGGAATCGAAAAAGCGGTGACGTCGAAAGGCGCTGCCGCGATTACACGACGCAGCTCTATGGCTGCAAATTACGAACTTGATGGCAAATACACTTAGGATTTTCGGCCTCAAAAATTAGAATAAAATAGCCCCGTTGTTCGCCGCCGCTGTTTGTCCAGAAAATCGTTGTAACACAGGAGATGGTAATTTGGTCTAAAAATAAATTCATCAAAAATGTAAGTAAAAAGCTCGCGACGAAGGGATTTCCTGGAGAAGTTGTAAATAGCTCGGGAACTCAGAAAATTGTATAACGCTGGACGAGGCGTCGCGTCGCAAGCGAAACCGTGACGAAGCGCGCGCGTCAACAGGCGACAGGATATTTTCTCTCCTCACCTTCGTACTTTCTAACACAATTAACTGCAGCAGGCTGAAATCGAATTAGTTCGTATCGGATACCGCTTGATTTTGCTGGTTCGGCTGTACATCGATAGCCGTTGCAGTTTTCCCGGGGCGAGTCCGAACAACGACCGAGTTTTCGCAGGTCAAATAAAGTTGTAGCTGCTTCTTGTCCCTGTTTCTCTCTTGCGTGCGTCTTCCAATTTTTCTCCTCCCTTCTCTCAGCTGACACTTCTCGTACGGCAGTATCTCTCTCGGTTAATGCGGGTCACGAGTCGGAAATGTGGGTCGTGTATATGCGCGAAAAACAGGGAGGCGTTTCGAAGTCAATGCGCGCCCGCGTTTATTTCGGTAAACGAGAGCCGAATGATTTTGCCCGAGGGGAGAAAGAGGGACATATGATCTCACGATAAGTGCTTCAAAGCGTAATGCATCCTGGTTATACATCGAACCTTCATTAGGCGATAAGAGACGAGGTTCTCTCAAGCCAAGCACTTTACAGAAAATTCGCTTGGCCGCGTTAGATAATGTTCTATACGATTCTTGCTCGGTTTTACGATGACGAGATATCGGTAGAAATCGGTAGAAATTAAATTAATTAGCAAGAATAAAGACTTATTGTCGCCAGTAAATAATTAATCAATGCAGGGAAATTAATAAACGGCACAACCGGCCGATTCAAATTAGAGAAATTTATTAGGTTCAAACCTTGGCCGAGGTAATATTTTTCGCAATAAATTTCTCTAATTTGAATTGGCCAGTTGTGTCGTTTATTAATTTTCTTACGTTGGTTAAATCAATTACTTGTTTACTTATTTATTGTTTGCGGAAAACCAGTAGAAAGATATTTATAGATAAAGAGGCAAATAAATAAGCGGCAAAATTTTCCGCGTTTGTAAAATTGAAGCTTAGCGCGCGGAAAGGTTCTTTTCTCTTGCAATTCAACTTCAGATGTCGTGACATTTCTGACAATGAAAAATCGATTGCAAAAGGAAGTAGAGGATCTGTAAGTGAAGAAAAGTGCGGTAGTTCCGACACATATTGTACGTTTTCAGGTACAGATATCTATAAAATTCGGATATGGTCGCTGTTCCAGTCTCTCTCCCGTTTTCTCACTCGCTCACTTTCCTTTCAGTGCAATGTGCGCGCAACTGAATCCCGACGAAAGAATAAACAAGCGATATATCGCGTACGCCCGGATGGGTATTTTACGCCTCTTCGAGATATCCGGAGATAACGTGCCCGGCCAAATTGGTTTAAGCGAACAAAACTGGGCAGGGAAATTGACGAAGACTGAATCGGAATTAAAATAGGAATGTAACCGCGTCTCAATAGAACGACTTAACGAGGTCTATTTCGACATTTTACGCTGTTTAAAATTTACGACTGACTGACAGCCAAAGAAATGGAATCTTTTTATAGAGAGAGAAGGTATTTCCAAATCGGTATTTTTGTAAAAACCATATTTACAAAATAATAGATAAAACGGAATTACGAGTCACGAGTTATCAATATCCATCAATATTGACAACTTAATTCAATTGAATTTAAATCAACTTTTAAAATGTTACTGAAGACATAATAATTTGCGTCGATCCGCTAACAAAAGGAATGTTTAGGATCAAGCTAGAGTTTTACGCGTCTCAAGTAAAATGTACTAAATAAAATAATTGAAAAGTCTGGGATAAAATTCCAAGAAGTCAGGATTCGTCGATAGAGTTCCTTGTCGCCACGACAATGTCACGTTTGGTGGCCAACCGAATTAATAGGAATCATTGGCAAAGATCGCTTCTGCTATTCCATAATTATTGAGACGATAATTGGACGTTCAATTAGTATTCGGCCTCTAGTTACACGCGGAGGATCATCAAAGCCTAACTAGAGTAACTGGATTTCAATGAGAGCCGGGAGCGCGGCGCGAGATTTGACGGAAAATGGAAATACCTGAGATTCTCGCGCTCTTCATTAATACCGACTCCTAACGCGATCTAATAATAACGGGTTTCTCTTCTGCACTTGACATATTTTGCGCTGGACTTGTACTTGATCATTAAGAGGAGTCCTCGTATGACGTTTTACTAAAAATTCTTAAGGCCTGTGTCCACGATGCTAGAACTTGGTCCAAGTGCTAGTCTCGAGGAATGCGTAGCCACTCAACTTGCAGCTTTTATGGAATGCAAGTTGATTGGCTACACATTTCTCGAGACTAGAACCAAGTTCTAGCATCGTGGACGCAGGCCTTTACACTCTGGGACAAAAAAAAGACAGTTTAGCAACCACCCATTTTGGGGCCCACAATTAGTAATCGAATTATTTGGATTGTTCGTAGTCTTTTACGAATTTTACCCCGCGTAACTAAAAATCGCAATTAGCTATTCCATCTATATCCAAGATTTACAAGTAATACTAATCAATTCTCTCAATTAGTTCTGTAGATATTCAGTAACGCAAAGATAATTTTCACTCAAGAGGCCACTGACCGAAATGTTAAGTTGCTTGACTACAAAAAAAAATGGTCAAAATTTTTCCCAGAGTAGAGTTACGAACGATCCAAATAATTCGATTACTAATTGTGGACCCCAAAATGGGTTGCTAACTGTCCTTTTTTTTCCCCCAGAGCACTTGGGCAAGATATTTTATACCATTCGCGTTAAATTCAGAGATTTATATAAAATCCGATTATAGAGAGTACATTCGAATGGCAGGACGTCCGAACGAATTAGGGATTTCAGGCTCTAATAGCGATCGCGGAATTGGAACGCGTCCCTCCGACGGCCCGCGGCTAATCGGGACGATTCTCTTGTGCAGGTTCAGCGGTAGCGATGATCGGCGCTAATCTGAGATTCGGCATCGGCGCTTCCGGGAATGTCACGTCCAACGCCACCAAGGTGTTCCAGTGTCACCCCGGTGGTGTGACCGAGGCGACCGTGATATTTAGCCTCGGTGCATTGGGGATGGGGGCGAATATCATCCTCATGACGTTGATACTGGCGAAGCGACAGCTGCGCAGGTACGAAGCGATAATAATCCGGCGAAGAACGGCGCGCTTTATGACCCCCGTGGCATCGCGCGGGGGCTGATCCGGGAACAACGTCCGGAAATTCTCGCGTTACGACCCCGCTCGATACGCGACGCGAAACCGCATCCTGCGTACCGCGCGATATCCTGCAAAAATTACCGCGATACCGTGAATTCGGAGGAAGGATGCCTTCGCGATATGGAGAGCGCCACGTTCTATCGCGCCCTAATTACATCCGCCTCGTGGCGTTCGAATTTAATGCATTTGTTTGAGAAGAGCGCGCCGTTGCGATAAACGAAAGCAAATTTGCTTTATCGCGACTTCTCGTGCTTTCGAATGGAATTTACGAGCCAGCGGCAAATTTAGCCGCGCCGTACATGAATTTCAATCTCGCGTAAGGGTATCTTGACTTGTTGAACTTTATCTCAGTACGTGAACAGGCGGCTATATTGCGGCCCGGTAACCGTCACGTACTGTTTATCGAATAAAATCTCGATCGTATGCTCGCGAGTAAACAAAATATTGTCTGATCGATACGCGAAACATGGCGCGCGTGACAAACTGCAAAGTGTTCCTAATATGATATCGGACTTTAGGAATGTATCCTGCTATCAATTTAAAGTCGATTTTCTTTAGAACGTTGACGCGATATCGTTCGAGACTGCAAGTAAAATTACATCTTTACAAACTTTACGGATTGAAATAAATGTTTCGAGTAAAACTCGAATTGAATTGATAAAAATGTCTGATGCTGAACATTTACAATGTGAAAAATGATCAATTTCTTGCATGAGCAAGACAGAATTCTTGAGATTCTAAACTATGTTCTCTCAGAAACATTCTACTTGCGTTCATGTGAGTGTTTCGTTATTTTAAACATTAAACATAATTAAATTAACTGATGAGAATTTTTCAATGCTGTCAGCGGTAATTAACGACAGTGTTTTCTTGACCATACCTGGCATTTTTAATAATAAACACGGAAAAAAGAATAATGTTGTATCAACAAGATCAGTGTAATTGAAATAAAATCGTTGAAACAATTCATGTCTTAATAATCTGGACATTTAGTTCAATGCTTAAAATTAAAATCCATAGCAAATACAATTGAATGAATTATTTATGTTTGTGGCAGCCCATGACGTTAGCGTTTAATTCAAGCAACTTCATTTTGTTTAATTCAACAGAATTTTTTTTCCGCGCGGAAAATGTATTGCGAAAAATATTACCTCGGCCAGGGTTTGAACCTGGACCTCCGTACACTCCAGGCGCGGGCGTCTTTTTCGCAATAAATTTCCTGTATTACATAAAAAATGCCAGGTATGGTCAAGAAGACACTGACATAATTAATTAAACCCGCGCAAATAAACCGAAATTGTTGGCAATGAAATTTCCAGAGGCGTAACTTGTAAGATGCGGCGACAAGTCCAGGGATTGGGGACGTAATCGGAGACGGAGACGGATAGAATGGCAAATGTGTTGACGTATATTTATCCCGGGATTTACAGGTGGTCCCAGGGACTGTTATTCCACCAAGCCATGGTGGATTGCGCGAGAGCCGCTATTTTGCTGCCCCTAGGCTCCAGCATATTGAATTGTCAGCCCGTTAACAAGTGCTCTCTGGTAGAGACCGCCTTTCTGTTACTGGTGACCGTCTCCACGGTAAATATGCTCACGACCGTGCTAAACGACAGCCCGGTGTTCCCAGAAAGCGACGAGGAGGCAGATCTGACCGCTCCCTTGCTGATGGATTCACCCCAGGTAAGATTTATATAATACGCGTTGTCACGTTGACATGATCCGTGCTTTCACGTTGACGATTTATTCTCACGACTTTCTCAGACGTATCGCACAAATAAATAAGAGTGCAGATTCGCGCACTGAAAAAAATTTCTGGTTGAATATGGACGAATCAGATAATTCCTTTAGGATTTACCAGAATTCCTTTAGGATTTACCAGAATTCCTGTAATCCTACAGAAATTCTGGTAAATCCTAAAGGAATTCTGGTAAATCCTAAAGGAATTATCTGATTCGTCCATATTCAACCAGAAATTTTTTTCAGTGCGCGTACGCGTAGCTCTCGAGCCCCGAGTTTTAACAACTGAAGTCAACGGCACACGATACTATTTTTCCTACTGGATTTCTTACAAGAGCCAATGCAGAGTTTCAGATCGGGTGACTTAAGGCTAGACCCTGATCTCTCGTAAGCAATCCAGTAGAAAAAATAGTATCGCGTGCTGTTGGCTTAAGTTTTAACTTAGCCCGCGGAGCACTCAGCCCTTTCAATTTACAACTCCCAACTTTCAACTCTCGATGTTCTCAATCGTCTCTTAATTCGTTGCGGTCTAAACTATTTTCTGCAAATAAGCAAAGATCAAATGTCTCGTCGGCGACTTCGTGAAATCGGTTGATTTAATCAAGGAATTTTTATTAGCTGGAGGAATTGAAAGTCCTAAAAGCGTAATTTACCGTTTATAAACGTCTGTAAATTTGAGAACGCTTGAAGAATTACACGATAAGCTGTTCCAACGCATTACATATCGAGTCCAGCTCGGTTAGGGTTAAGCATTTGATATTACGTTTGTATAATGTTATAGGATTATTACACTTATTTAAACAAATATAGATATTGTTTTTAAGGCGTTAGTTCAAGTAAAATTAGATAGGTTTGCTTGTGACAAGCTGCCGATTGAAAATATTGTGACGTGGCTAACCCGCGTGATTTTGTCTAACGCAGACTACGGTTGTCCATCTCGCATGCGAAATGACAGAGAAATTTCCGCCCAACCGCAGCATTGTGATAGCAAATTCAGCGGTGACTGATTGCGGTGCAAACCGCCCGTCGCATCATAGAGATATCGAAGCGGAAGCTGCCGGGCTAAATCGGATTTTTCCGAAGAAAATTAATTACGCCGCAGGGAAACATCGAGCACACAGCTAGACATCCGGAGATATCTTGATAGGTTGTGATAAATCTAACCGGTCGACGTTCGTAAAGACAGAAAATTGTTTTCTAATAAATTTACAGCAAATTTTTTGCATTAAATTATAATAAATGTTTAAACATAATCAACTAATGAAGCATGAAAAAAATTTCAATTTGCAAGTGTTGGACGACTAGTTCGACTTTCTTATGCATCATATAAATTATTGAAACGTAAATTATTATCGTGTTTTATAGTTCCTCGTAGAATTTTATTTTTAATTGAACTTGCCTACTCAAGGAATTTAATTAAAAATTTTTAAGTCACGAGACAGAACTCGGAGACAGCGAGGGTGAGTTATCTTCAAAGTCATCTTCAGACTACACGTTTCTAAAATTCGATGCAGATTTTACGGGGGATCCTATATCATTACGGTACGACCCGAGACACTAAATTAGCACAATTAATTCCTTAACGACTTGCAGTTCCTTAACTAGTGGCAGTCGCATAGTTCAAAATTAATTTAGCGCAATAACTTGCACGTCTAGTGACACTCGTGCCACTTGCTTTCGTAACAACAGAATTCTAATGATGGTTCGTTAAACATGCGAGATGTCTATTATTATGTGTCCCTTGTGAGAACATTGCAATTGTAGCCTTGCAAGCATCGAAATAATGTCTGATATTATTTTAAACGTCACTGACAACCACGGTTTTTTTTTCGGTGCCCACATAGCGCTGCCCGTTTTCTGCGAGTTGAATTTCTAAATTGCAAATAAATGATATAAATATAAATACAAAATATACACTTTTACTTTTGTTTAAAAAAAAAGACACAATATAGATTTTAACAGAAGATTTTAACAGATAAGACAGAATTAAAATTGTTTACTTGTAATATACAGATATATAATTGAAATGTCAAACGCGTATCGATATTTAAAAAGTTTTATTATAATTTATTTCTATATTTTTACTGAGAAACATTAAAAATGGTTAAACTCGCTAATAAATACAAAAAATGCACTATCTGGAAAGTGGTTTCTACCCTTCACAATGGCGGATCAATTGTGGATTACAGGATTGCATAGATGTCGGATTCTAGAATTTAAACGAAGACAATCGGATTATGTCTTAAACTCGTTAGACTGACCAATCACGATACCCAAAACGAGATTACGTTTGATCGAATAAATGAATATTTATGAAATTTTACGAGACCCGTGAATATATGTTTTCTAAAAATTTACGATCGCTATTGTAATGATTAATGGTTTTCCGGTAATATTTTTGTTGAATCTGTTTCGTACTGTACAAACAAATTCATAATTACGTTTATAAAACATCCTGTCAGCTATAAAAAATCGTTATATCAAACACAACGGTGCAACTTGCACCTTCCTTTAAATCTACAAATTTAAATTCGCTCTTATTTGTAGAATTTATTTATAAATTGTCAGCATCGGTCAAGTAATTAGGTACGTCGAAATAGCTAGTATTTTGTTTAAACATTCACGAAGCTCGTTGAGAAATTATTTACACGTGGAGAGTTTTAATTAAATTGTGGGAAACAGTTTGTATCCTACTTTACTAATTGTAAGATAACAGCAATCAATAAGACCTGAAGTCTCACGTGTCATTTGTTACCGCGAAAAAGAACAAAAAATGTTACAATACTTTACAGAAAAAAAAGACGTTCACAGGACAATACTTAATTTAATGTTAATTATTTCCTAAATAAATTCCGTTTATCTTTATAAACAATTATTCGTAACAAATCTCAAAGGTTAATTGTTAATTTAAAAAATGTTTCAAACCGCAAGTGCAATTCATGAGACACTACTGGTTTATCTTGATAATTCTACTTTTGAAAAATTCGGGAAAAAGCAACGTGATCGCAGTGAGAAAAAAAAGTGTTGAATCAAGAAATTTTTCAACTAAAAAATATTTGCTTGGCAAATATTTATCAATTCCCAAAAATATGTATGTTACGATAAATCACTGTATGTTTAACTTAAAAACATACATATTTGAACTAAAGAGATACAGCCGACTAACTGTATTTAGAACATCAAGAATTATTTGACGCCAGTAAATGACTAACAATGATGAAGCTTCTAATCGCCAGTTATGGTCGATTAGAAGCTTCATCATTGTTAACTGTACTTAGTCATTTCAATAACTTTTTTTTTCAGCGCGGAGAAATCTTCGTGAACTCTATCGAAAAATTCCTCGCTACTTTCTTGCAGTGCGTGCTCTTTGGCACCTTCATGATCTGGTTCGCCAGCATAACTATCAATCTGGGACCTACGTTTCTTAGCGGAGCTTTAGCGGCGAACACGGAGAGCGGTCACAACGCGCCCAGCTGCCCGTTGGTACACGGCCCCTTTCGCCACTATATACTCAATGTCCTTTGGATTGTCATCAACATTATTTGCGTAGCACTCACGCTCTTTCACTTGAGAAAGTTGCACAGGGATCTGACGAAAGCTAATGTCGAAGCGGTGAGCGGCAATATCGAGCATACAGTCACAGTCTATCAAACGCACATCTTATTAATTTCTAATTTTTTTCTTGTGCAAATAAAAATATAACGCGAATAATACACGATAAAGAATTGAGTATTTCTATTTTGAAACTTATAAAATGTCAAAGTGTTCAATTCAGAATTTAAATTTTGGATAGCAGCAGTTTTATACTCTTACGAGAGAAGTTTTTCTTTCTGTTTAAAGGTTTACATCTTGATACAAAATATCACTTCATTTTATTGTAATTTTATAAACTTCTTATGGGTTTATGTAACATCGTGTTTATCTCCAGGTACGAGTAGCTGGTCTCGTTACAACGCTCGTTAATGTGACGGGAGGACATCAGGGTGCAACGAATGCACTTGCAAGCGAAGACGGTGGCACGAGGAACGGTACGACACCGAAAGTAAGTCATTACGTTGATGCTTTTCAACGCACATACGCTAGGAAATCTGCACAAAATCCTCTTAATTTGATAGGCAATTCAAGTAATAGTTAATTTTTGGTTCTAAAAACCAAATTTTATTACTAATACCAAATGCTGAGTACTGACGGTACCAGTTTGCCTTTGTGCGTGCGCACTTTTGTATATCAATGAGACGTGTACGCGGGGCAGATGGAAATGGAAGAAGGAAGCGCGAGTGCCGTGGCGCGTAAAAAGATCTGAAAATTCTTCAGAAACGACATTTCAGAGAACGGGCGCTATCGAGGAGCACCGGAAAATGAGGAATTACCTGAGGAGAATGGAACGCGAGGGTGTGCAGAGGGTGAAAATGTTCCTGGTCATAACGGCGGCGTACGTCTTGTTCTGGGGACCATTGTTTTTCGTTACTCTGGTGCATCACCCCGTTATAGGAAACCCCACCGGCTACGAGGTAATTAGAACGTATAGAGCGACGAGATAATGGGGAGTTTGGTATCTGCGTTCGCGTTAACGTTGCTTCCGCGAAATTTAGACGCTATCAATATTTATGCCCCCCCATAAATACCTACTGGTCATTACTTATCTCACTTGTAATGGCGCACTTGTGGTATCGGTGCGAATATTAATAGCTCGCTGTACGAATGCGCAGTCGGAAACTCGTCCCGGTAAAAACCGCGATTGTGTGTCATGTTATTTATTCATCCACGCGAATCAGCTCATTTATTAATTTCGAAAGATATATTCGGCAGAAACAATCGGCGGCATATCAGCAGCTTATATAAATAAGCAAATATAAATGATGAATGACTGACGTCACACAAGTAGCATGCATATATCAAAGTTAATCGTCTGGCAGCGACACAGATGAATACGAGAATTTCTGCCTTTTTCCTAATTAATTATTAGAGGAAAGTCCTCTATTACGAGATAGGTTTCTAATACGAGATGGAGCAGGTTTTCAACACCCAAATTCAATCACAAATCTTTTTTCCCAACGATCTAACGATCCAACAATGAATTTTATACTAAACAGATTTCGCTCCAAGGACAATAAACGCATAGTGGAATCAACTGATGATGCCTATTAATTTAACAGAAATCTTGCTGTCCCATATTAGGTTCCTATTTCATAATAGGGGACTGTTCTCTATAATTGGATGTTATAATCCTAACAATCCGATAGCAATTATAGCATAAATTGCTCTTGTGATGATATGGGAAATTAATCCAAAACCAGGGAGGATTAAAATATAAACTTCAGGATGTCCAAGAAATACATAATTCCTTGGTAATGACGCGGCGTCCAAAATACGCGTGCGAGACGAAATAAAGCTTGTCAAGCAATTTCAGTTTGACGTCTGATAACAATACGAAGTTCCGAGATAGGAAAAGGATGCGAAAACTTGGCGAGAAAACATGAAATCGTAACTTGCTCGACCGTGCCAATACGGAGTTGCACGTGAATCGCTCGAGCGAGTTCGCAGCTACCGAGAGCGGAGTTCCTTCGAAGAATCTTTCCACGAGAATATAAATTTTCAAGAGAGGAAAGAGCCCTCGTCGAAAAACTCGTCGAGTGACTCGAAGACATCGCGCAGCGGTTTTGCTAATGTTAGCATCGTAGCAGATGCACGAAATAGCCGCATTTCATCTTCTCGATGCGCAATAAACTTCCGGTATTTTGACAAAACGTAGACCGCGACGCGGTGAAAAGCGTAATTTAAGAAAAGATAAATCGTCTCGCTTCCTGCCTAAATATGTATAAACCTCAACATTTTTCACTTCGGATATTTTACAACGCGACCCGTAAAGATCCCTTTTAAATATAATATAATCTTCCTTTAATTTAAATAAAACCAGATTCATACAGATAATTAAACCGATATTGAATTGTTGTTCATTGTCAGCTTTATTTTTCATTATTCTTATGTAGTGAACCGATGATATTAGCTGTCACTTTAGTTTCATCGTGCTTAAAAAAAAAATAGCGCGGTTTCGTCCTCCTTTATTTTACAAGCGCGCTATCGCGCAATTTTGGATTAGCTCATGGATTTATGTTCGCAGCAACACGATGCGAACTGCACACGATGCACCGCACCTAAATCACTGGATTCCGCGGTTTGTTGTACCAGGTGACCCTACACATCGCGTACGTGCACGCCTTCGTAAACCCGGCCCTGTTCCTCGCCCTGCATCGGGGGCTGCGACAGGGGATGTCGGACGTGTGTTGCGGCTGCTGCGAGAGCATAGCCCGATGGATCCTCGGGTCCGCCGCGACCGGTCCGATGCAGAATGTTCAGCTGCCCCGATACGAGCCGAATCTCCCCTCGCCGCCGGATCCACCCCTGGCGGCGCAGGCCATGGCGCCGGGATGCAATCTGACTGACGTGGCGCTCCTGAAACCACCCCTGCCACCGACTGCCAAACACCTACTGGTGGTAGGACACTCGTCTGAGTAATCGCCGAAACTTATCGCGGCTAATTCGCGTTTAATCGCTCGGAGATCTTTAACGACTCAGAGACGTCATCCCCCCCTTAATCGCCCGAAGATCACTCGGATCCCTGATTTTCCTCTCGGTGTTTCTCCTTGCCAGAAATTTTTATATGATCCCTGTTATGTGTAAATCTTTCGCCCGAGCTTGCAATACAAATACAAAATTACGAGTAAAATTGCAGGACGATTCTATCGTGATGCCACCCGACCCTTGGAGCCTGACTTCAAGACCGAAGAGCACTTCCAGCCTGTACGAGGAGGAATTATCCAGAAGACCGAGCCTCCTGCTACCACCACCGGCGGAACTGAACGACATGCAAATGAGCCCCACGAGTAGCGACTTGCCCAGCGAATAAATGATCTTAATCAACATCGAACCAAAAAGCATAACTTTAATCGATCGCAGTGTAAAAAATAATTGCAAAAATGAGACGAGCAGATTTTCAGGAAAAATCCTTCCTAATCCTCCCCTGGAGCACCATCCTTCGATCAGGCGTTCATATATCGTTGACAAAAAGCCGAAATCAAATAAGCCACGCGCTACAATTACCTAATCCAGACGAAATTGAAGATAATACCATCGGAAATTTGTAAATCGTAAATTTGCTTCTTACGGGCGTTTAATATCAAGAAACAAGATTGCGTCAAGATGAAATTCATCGTACACATAAACTTGAGTTTCACTAGGAAGTGAAGTAATTGAAAAATTAGTACGCACATTTACTTTTACAATGGATACATAGAATAGGCATACAAAAAATTAACAGACTGACTTTTCTCACAAAACTCGTATTTATGTATATATCAATTTCCGCTATTGTCACGTCCAGAATCATCGGTTGAAGTAATGTAAAGATCATTGCTTTGGTATCTGAGAAACGGCATTGTCTTGCCATACTTAAAACGTTGCATTTGTCATAAACTCGCGATTAAAGTCTTTTCCGACAACTTTTACGATCTTTATCGTAAGCAGACGTGACGTTCTCTTCATTTACGGAATCGTAGAAATAATCACAAAATTCTACGCAGTAAATTACTAGTAATTAAATGATAAAAATTAAACTTTTTTTTAACTATGATTGGCATACGATCAACAATGTAATTTTATTGCCACTGAATTATGCGGTAAATAATAAAAGTAAGTTTACTTATCATTACAAGCTATTTGGAAGCCCGGATAAATTATCGATAAGTTGAAATTTAATTTCCCGCTCTTTTTGATGAACTTGATGTAGTGGCACAATTAAAAAAAAAACAAAATAAAATATGAAGAGGAAAGAAATGTAATCCACCGGGCATCATCTGAATGTATCTGTGATTGCTTATAAACGTCCTAGTCTTTTTGTCGTTGTCGTGTCGTGGTAATAGATCCTTATTGTTAGAGAATTATACATATATATATACATATATACACACAATGTATATATATATACAGCGCGATAAGTGATACTTTAGAAATATTAAATAATATTAATTCGTGATCTGCTTTTTCGGCTACACAGAACAGGACTGAAAACGAAACGAATCTGGCGAGTCAGAGAAGTACAATACGCGGTAGAAAGTATAATTGACTGGGAATAATTTCTTCATTTAGCCAAGTTATAGGTGCACTTAATAAATGTACATAAAGATCGAACGCGCAGTCCTGCCGCGCTTCAGTCCTTCGTAAAGTGGCACTATCGCGTGAGCTTCTTCATTCGGGGACTCAATCTTCTTGAAACGAGATACTATATATATCGAATTACATATATATTTTCTACGCGACATTTTAGAGATCGCACCCGTTGCAGCCGCACAATGCATCTGTGTCTCGCCGATCTAATTGTGCGTTACACCAACGCTTTTGTTTTATGCAAATGAGAATGATTCACGAGAGCGAGGAAGCAGAGAAATCAGCCGATTATTCTACGAATAGAGAACTGGAAGTAGTTCACAGCTAATGTAAATGTAAATATGAACGATCATCCCGATTCCACTTGAAATTCTTTGCTAGTTGTACACTTGCTATATTAATAACTTTGCATAATTGTTCTTACGTATTTGTCTCAAATACTTATTTTCAAATTTATTAATTTAATGTTGCAAAACGGCGAACCAGGAGCGATATATCCCCAGATATTTCAAATATACATTTGCTCATCGCGTTTATATAATAAAGAAAAACTTGAGTGGTTTCGAAGTCTTATTCCCCGAAAAATTATAATATTGAAGTGATATTAGAAAACATATTAAAAGACGGTCGACTCTGAACAGAGAAACGAGCAAAATTATAATATTAAGAACAATCAAAACACTCAGTTAATTGAACTTAAAATTGACAAATTAACTTGTCACGTGATCTTTTAAAGCACATGATATTTCGTATGAATTAAAATACAATTCCTAATTATGAGAGTAATTAAAGTGATTTCTACTAATTTTATGTAAAACTGTAAAAAACACTGTAAAAATTATTCATATCAAGTTACGCCGTATATCGTAGTTAGCAGATTATAATTGTGATGATTATCCTCTAAAAGTCTAACTAATAAGCAATATTTCAATCGCAAGAAATATTAAAAATTGGTAAACGTGAAATCTAACAGAGAGTACCTTCTTGACATGTTTATATTACTTATAAGTCTGATTAAAAACAATGTAAGAGAAGAGAGATTGAAATGAATAAAATTTTTTCCAAAATTAAAATATGCACTATTGGCATCATTAAACATACATGTATATTAAAGTGTATTAAAAGTGTTAGCGTAGAACTTGTTTCTTATTGTATAGCGAAAGGCATATCAATGTAGAGAAGTGTTATGCGTTTGAAAATGAGTATGTGCAGCATAACGTTACGTGGCGAGTATCGAAATTTATTAAAATTACGTAAATTTAATATCCTCACTCAAGCCCCTCTTTCTTTATTCGTCGGAGATGTGTTAAAAGCAGTGCACGGACGCTGCTTAGATACAAGTCAATTAACTGTAACTACCACAAGATATTTTCTTCTTAAGTCGCGTGTGTAATAAATGTTTCATGTAAATTCATGTAAATTATATATATATATGTGTGTGTGTGTGTATGTAAGAAAGTGGTAGATCAAGACCGAAATTTTTTATCGTAATTTTATAAATGCAACATCGAGAACGGACGTAATCGATTAATGGCAATTGTGAGAAAAGAAAAGTATTTCGAGGTGCATTAAAAGTATACGGGATGCGTTAGAATTGGAAGTTTCGCAGCTTCGACTATGCGTTTGATTGAACTGTGCACATTTTTTTCCAACAATTAATTCACCCTACAATAATTTATTATATTTCTCAATAGATCGCGAATATATTTGAGATTGTCTGCTTGCAGTGTATATTAAAATACACATACCTAAATTTTTTTAGCACGAACGTCGTAGGTCTTTACGCCAACGTATTTAATTTCATTTACTGTTTAACAGCAAGTATCTCTTGGAATTGCTATTAAAGTCGATTTTTTTTCACAGCGTTCTTGAAAGCCAAACATTAAAGCGAATTATTCTAAACAATCTCATCAGGGCAAAGTGTAATTATTAAGAACATTTTTAAGAGAACGGTGCCTGAAAACCCGAAATATCGTTACGAATCGACAGCAAAGTAATGCGAAATGATATCGTAAACTATATAAATTATACGAGCATAAATTTTATCCTTGCCAGAAAGAAGGAGAGAACCTGCATTATATTTCACTGTATATAAAACCCTGCTCACATATTTAAAATAAAAGTATATGTAATATATAAATTATATGTTCTTCTCATTATTAAACTAATATTGCGTATTTCAAACATGGCGAAACAAATAGCTACATATATTTTAAACTGACCTTCCACATTTTTATATTTAATGGTTTAAAAAATTGTTAAGATTTTTGTTTTAAGAAACGACTCTTGAATAATACTGGCGAAATATTGGAGAAAATCTTTTTATATTTACCAAAAATATCAAAGTAAAAGTATGGTTAAGTAAATCGGAATTTTCATGAATCTCTCATTGCTTTCCAAAATTTGACGAGCTACTTTGTTCTCGTCTGCTACCTGTTGTCGTAATTATAGTTCGCGGAGTAAAAGAAGCTATAATAAGAAAATATTGAAACAAGGGTTCCGACAATTTGTTCATATTATACGACAAGACTTCGTTATTAACTTTGTTAATGACAAAGTATATTAAAACAAATCTTGTGGCGATCGTGGCGCAGAGGATTGTGCGCTGGTCTGGTAATCCGAAGACCCGGGTTCAAAACCAAACAAAACATTGTTGGTTTTTCGTTCGATCGCCACATATCCACAGCTTTGGTCGTATTATATGAACTTAACGTCGAATAGCAGTTTTAATAAAGAAATCCTATTGGCGTTCCTGATTAGAATCACTAGTGGTAAAATCATAATTTGCAAACTGATTATAAATATCGACGGCTAAACTATATGCAACTGTTATACCGAAATCATTCAATTCAAAAAAATCTGAGAATATACAGAGAATGATTAGACGCGCTTTCAATATTCGAAGATCGTCAGCAACTAACAGTAAATAATATTTATCTGTCTCACGTTGCCACTTACCTGTTCGAAGCCACCTAATATCTCCGTCGTATCCATTGCAGAATTCACGGCAATGGACCTCAGCTTCTGGCCCGTCAAAGCAGCAAGCAAACGAACCACGCTGCTCTTGCCGCAACCCGAAGCACCAATCTATAATATAATAAATATAATATAATAAATATAATAAAAAAACATTCAATCGCATTCTGATTAATTAGTTAAAGTGGGTGGAAGTTTAACAAAGAGGATTCCAAATTACAAATAAACGTACAAGAATGGACATCCAATTCATTTTAACGCACTGCATGAGACTCTTCAGTGCTTTTTTCTGTTCTCTGAGCACTAACAAATTGAAGTCCTGCGGTACGCTGCAATTTTTCCGGCTTAACGTCACGTCGCCAATAAAAAGTTGGTCTACCGTGACGTGCATCGGAAGTTGACTAGGCAGAGGATATTTCTCGAGCGAGAATTTTTCTTGATATATCTGATATACCTATAAAACAAATACGAAAAAGCGTTAAACTTATAAAATATACTTTATATTTATAATGAGCATAAAAGTGATTTCTTCCAGACAATTTTGAATTTTTCTCTCCGATATCTTTATATTCTCATTAAATATTTTGACGAGCATAACAATGACTGACTGAACTCACCCTTTGCCGATCTTCATTGGTTCTCATTCTGTTAATATAGATGAGCTCTACGCTGTCACCTGGATTAAAATACTGTTGATTACTGCGAAATTCGTTAGACGCGGCTTCAATAGTCGTCTGGCACCAGCGAGTAATATCTCGCAGATTCATTTCCCATGGAGATCCGGTATGCCCCCATAAAATGCCAGCTTCCGACGCTAACTTGCTGTTAAACTGCACCATAGCATTGATCAATTCCACAGGAAGTTGTGGAAATTGCGCACCAAGTATAAACCTCAAGTCGTCTTCCATTAATGCATCTACGGATACCTGAAAGAACAGTAAACTTTGGATTACAGAAGTTACTTTCGCAGCATTATGTCTCATGTTATACCCACAATATATAAATACCTGAGTAAATCTGTTTAAAAAGGATCTCGGTAAGCCTCGTCTGGCACCACCTTGCCGCAAGGGATTTTGACAACCGAACAATCTTGTACCAGGTTTGACCGTAAATGTCTTTCCCAGTTCGGGAATGTATATCTCTCCTCTATGATCGAAGCACGCGTTAAGGCCTTCCAAGACCGATTGCGACGCCAGGTTTAACTCGTCGAGCAGAATCCAATATCCGGCACGCAAAGCTCGCAAAAATGGACCGTCCCGCCATGCAAATTCACCGCCTTTGCCGTTTTCTACGGGAAGATCGGCACCAAACAAATCGGATACGTCCTGTAGACACGACAGAGATGTCATTTATTTTAATTTTCGGTTAAACAAGTTGTAGTTTAAGGACGAAAGTAAATTGTGCCATTTTACGATACCGTTTGGTCGCTTAAATTGATTCTGATCAAAGTATGCCCCGCGGCTTTCGCGAGTGCAGAAACCAGACTGGTTTTTCCTACACCTGGACTTCCTTCCAGAAGAATCGGTTTGTTTAACTGCAACGCTCTTAGAAGTTTCAACGTGTTCAGCTTCGTAATGGAAGTCGTGAACGTAAATGCAGGGTCTTCGCAAGAAATATATGAGCCCTTTTTAATATAAAAAGGTGACACCCCGAATACATCTGGAGTATCTACAACGACGTTCTCGTTTATCACAGAAGTTTCCGTGTCAAGTTCAGATTTGATCGTATCTTTGATCTCCAACTTGATAAATTGAAAAGCTGTCACCGTAAAATCTCTCAATTTGCCGACACTGCAAAGAAATAATAATCGATTATTGAACGTTGAAATCCTTGCACCAAAATAAATTAGTATTCATACTGGAACTAATTTAACCGAGAAGATTAATTAGCTATCGGATCTTACGATAAAACTAAGACCGTTAAATAGTTTGTACATGCAAAATTAAAATATCGAAATATGTGCTAACATCTACCTCTCCGAACCCGTGGTACCAGATCCAAGACTGTCAATGTACGTGAGACAAGCGCCATGATAATACGCCTCTTCGATCGTCAGTTTCGCTAGCGGGGTACCGACAGTGGACACATTTATAAAATCGACCCAGGTGAGCACGTCTCGTATGCTCACGGTAAGCTTCTTGCCCACTTCGGTGGTCGGTAACCATTCCGTGAATCTCAATATCGCATCGGCGACGGACTCTCTCGTCGCTCGCGAATCGATGAGGAGATTATGTATTATTATGTCGCGCAGATCCCTCCTGGCCGTACATCCCTCGCACCACACCTCGGTGAATCGATTGCGCAAGGCCGGCGAGAGTTCTTTCTTGCCGTAATCACCACCGGGATTCATCGTCCCGACGAACACGAATTTCTCATCCGCCACGATCACGGTGTTCTCTTCGCCGTGAGAAGACTCTATTCCTTTCTCAGCCAACAGAAGACTACGCTCCGGCTCTGTACAGAAAGATTTATTATGAAAAGATAATATAAGATCACAAGCAAGAGACTGGTACCTTTCTCGAGAACGCGATCTGTCTTGCACTTTGCGTCTCGTGCTTACCTAAAAGCGAATTCAGTCGCTCCAAAACGCTATCGTCGGCCAACGAAATTTCGTCAGCCAGGAAGAGATCGCCGTTTCGCATGGCATTTATCAGAGGACCGTCCATCCACTCGAAGAGCCTCTGGTCGTCCTCGGCATGCTCCCGGACGGGTCGCAGATTTCCCAGGAAGTCGGACGACTCGGTGTGCATGTGGCAATTCACGCCACGCATCGCCTGGCCGTTGATAGCCGCGATCAACTGGCAGACGGTGGTCTTGCCACCGCCGGTTTCTCCGACTAGTAACACCGGCTCCTTGAACTGACAGGATTTCTTCACCAGAACCGCCATGCGACGCATGTGATAGGTCCACACGATGTGGCCGAAGCCGGGGATGTCGTTCCTCAGGATCTCCTCCAATATACACTTCGTCACCAGCGAGGTCTTGTCGTCGAGCGTGAACAAGCTGTCGGGATCTACGTCCCTCCTCAAATGTTGCTTTATCACTTGTCTAATCTCGTCCGCCTCTTCCGCTTTGCGGACCTTAGCCGCGAGAACGAGATAGCCCTCGTCAGCCAGATGTTGGTTCCAATCGTACAGCCTGTTGCCTACGTCGGGGGCCAATCTGTATCTCTCGCCCCAGCGAAATAGATCTCGCAGAGTTACGAATCCCTTCTTGCCGGCAAAAGTCGCTGTGCTCTTGCGCCTTCTCTGGAGGTCCATCATCACTTCGATCATTTGTCTGCAGTACGACTCCGGCATGCTGCATCGCTGATTGAGTATCGTCTGCAACTCCTTGGGCGGTATCTCGTCGAAGTGTAGCTCCACAAATCGGTTCCTGAACGCTCGCGACAGGACCTTTCGACCGCCGTAGAGCCCGGGGGGATTCTGCGTCGCGAACAGCATGAAGTGCTCGTGCGCCTTCACCACCTGTTGCGTCTCGGGTATGAACAGCTCCCTGTTGTCGTCGAGGACGCGATTCAGGGCCTCCAGAACGTCGCTCGGGGCCAGGTTTAACTCGTCCAGGATAATCCAGTGTCCTTTGCGCATCGCGTCCACCAGGACGCCTTCCTTGAACACCAGCTTCCCGGTCTCGTCCGCGACGTAACTTCCAACGTACTCCTGCAAATCCGTGTGCTCGTGATTGTTTATGCGGACGCAGACGTGCCCGGTGGTCTTCGCCAGGTAGGTGATCAAGCTGGTCTTGCCTACCGACGTGTCGCCCTGCAGCAAAACTGGAATCTTGCCGATCGACACCACTCTCACCAAGTCTTTCAAATTTCTCCTCACGGAATCGGTCAAGATGTAGTTGCTAGGTGCCTCAGGCGTCAAGCTTCCTCGTAGGACCCAGTATCCCTCGATGCACATGTACTCTTCCCCCGGACTGCATCTCGGTTTCGGTATAGGAGTGCCGAGTACCGCTTTGACGACGTTCTTGTTGCCGAGGATCGCTCGCTCGATCATTTCATGTACAATCCGGTGCGAGTTGTGGTCCAGCTGCGTCAGGAAGCTCAGGGAGAAGGCCTCGTACAGGGACCTCAAAATGTTGCCGCAGGGATTCGACGAGGAAATGTACAATGCGCGGCACAACGTTCTCAAACTGTAATGCGGCTTGTGCGCCGTGCCGTCGAACAACTTCGCCGTAGCCTCCTGTCTCACCTTCAGGTAGAACATGACGATCGCCTCGTGCTTCTCCAGCGGCAGATTCAGCTCCGCCAGGTAGTTGCTGACGAGCAACTGGAGATCCGATCGCTCGGTCAACTCGTCGATGTAGAACTCGGTGAAACGGTTCCTCAAGCCGACCGGCAAGTCCCTCTTGCCGACATCCGTGGCCGGGTTCATGCAGGCGAACACCGTGAAGTCGGGATGTCTCGTCACGGGCTCCCCGTCGCCGCGCTCCAGCAACGGCAGGGATTCCGAGGAGCCTTCCAGCAAACCGGAAAGACACTCCAGCGTCTCCGCATTCGCCAGATTGATCTCGTCCAAGAGAACCCAATAGCCGTCTCGCAAGGCCCTGACCAAACTCCCCTCTATAAAGGAAAACGCCAGCGCATACTGACTCTTCACCTGCGCTGCCAGTTTCTCCAGTTTCTCCAGCAACTTTTCCCACTTTCTCAGCAGATCCGTGTCGGCCTGGGCATCGTCCCGATCGGATCTCTCCCGAGAATTCTTGTCTCGTTTCTGATGTTTCGAAGCGTCCTTGAACGCGCTGTCTTCGGGATTCCCCAACTTATTTTTCAATCTCTTAACAGCGGCGCGCGTACTGTAGCTCATCAAAGTGACAAGATTCTTCCACTTCTCCTGCTTGTTGCACAGAGCAACGTTCTCGAGGAACTTCCTGTTCGGCTCGAGGACGAAGTAGGAGCGAAACAGGATCTCGAACTCCTCCCGGATGGGTGAGATCAGGAACTTGAGATCGACCGGCTTGTAGCCGCCTAGTAAATCCGCGCTCTCGCTCTGCTGATTCATGTTTATGATTGTCAATCTGTGGCCGGTACTCCTCGCTAGGTATTGCACCGAACTCGTCTTGCCGGTACCAGTCTCGCCGACCAGCAGCACCGGCTCCTTTTGCATCACGCAGCTGGCTATGCGCTCCAACAGGCACGCGGAAGGCCTCGTGAAGAAGAAATTGACCCTTTCCACGTCGATTCTCGCGTATTGCGCTTTCTGGCGAGTTAACTTCGCTCGGCCCGCTATCAGGAACTCGGGAAGCAGGGTCACGGACGGTTTGTGCATGTTGCAAAAGTGCTCTGCCTTCGTCTTTATAATACCAAGTTTATGAACTACCTCCGTCGCTAACTGTAATCGTTGCTCTGTAAAGAGATAATATAATTAATGACATAATATTTAACTGCAAATACTTCTAAATGTTAGTGTGGCGATCGTGGCGCAGAGGATTGTGCGCTGGTTTGGTAACAAGATCCGGGTTTTATTGTAGGTTTTACGTTCGATCGCCACATAGCGAAGTGGATATATATACAGAGAGAAAGGGAGAGAGGTGTAACCCTAAGGGGAATTAATAAAATGTATTTACATGTTTACTTCTAAACGTTATTGAAAAGAGAGTGGAAGACGTGGCGCAGAGAAATGTGCTGCTTAGTAAATAAATAAGCGAAAAGATCCGAGTTTAAATCCAGCTAGGGACACCGCTGATTTTTTCAGACGCCACTTCTCGAAGGGAAGTGGCAACCACCGAGAGTATCTTGCCACGCATACCCCTTTAAGAGTATAGCCCTCCAGGTTGGAGGTTTCCTTCAGCAAGATTAGCAGCCTACCGAAGATGAAGTAGAACCAAATGCTCAAAGTACCAGAACAAACTGGATAAAACGGGCTTTAAGCCTAATGCACGAGGAATAAGAGTGGGAGACAAAAATTTATACAAACGACTGATAAATAAAACAGGTCTAATAAATATGTATTCAAACAGGAAATCAGGGAGAAAGTGTTACCTTGATTAGGCACCGAACAGCAAAAGACATCCAGAGCATCCTGAAATATTTTCAATGCAGAGTCTGACGACGAAACGTCGAAGTCGACGATAGCTCTGGAACACCACTTTATCAAGTCTCGCGTCGACGTTTGCCGTCCAATCTTCAGCGACAGCATCGCGTCGCTAGCGTTACTCTCACCATCGTGATCCCCTAGGGAGACCAACAAGAACACATCTACTATTCTAGTGGCAATAGTGCTCAGTACTGGAAACAGCGTCTGAACCACAATCACTAATTCTTCCTTGGACAGTGGTTCCACGTTCAGGCACAGCCAGTGTTTCTGCAACAAACTCGAGGCCCCCGTGACGTGTTTCTGTACGCCCGTGGTGGACATCATCAATCGCTGAGTAACGAACAGCTGGAATCCGCTGCTGGCGTAAATGGTATCGCGATAGCCGGGCACGCAGAGCGTGCCGGTCTCCATCAGGTGGCTCAGGACGCTGGCCACGTCGAGGGCGGCGCTGTCCACGTCCTCCAGGAGCAGCCACTTGCCAGCGACGACCGCCTGCGTGAGTACACCCGGCTGCCAGACGAATTCACCGGGTACATCGGTGCACCTGTACATTCCCAGCAGCATCTTCGAGTCGGTCTGATCGCCCAACTGCACCTTGACGAAGCTCGACGTGTCGTGCCCGGTGACTCTGGCCAGATACTCCACCAGAGCAGTCTTACCGCAACCGACTGGCCCCTGCAGGCAGATGCATTTCCTCGAGCCAACGGCTATGGCCAGACTCTGTAGATTCTTCCTCGTGGAGGAAACTGCGACTAAATGGCGGGTGCTCTGACTTCTGCCCAGAGTGGGCAGCAATATGCCGCCAACAGACACGATGGACGAGATATTTTTAATCGCGTCTTCCACCGACTCGAAGCTGCCGCGAGTAACGCCGGTGTCCGCGCCTTTGGCTTCGTGATCAGTTAAAAATCTTGCAAAACTTCGAATTAGCGCTTGTGCGTAGGACAGCCTCGTTGCCTCGGACATGTTCAAAACTATAGCTATACATTTCAGGGCGACCCTGAAATCAAATCAACAAATTTTTTACCATCAAACAATTGTAGAATTAATCCAAATCGTCCTGGAATATATCGCGGATATATTTTCAGTTTCTCAGCTTCTTGCGCGGCACTCACCATTTCACCCCATCGTCCGCATTTGTTAAATATTTGTAAAATCTAGACCAGTTCCATTTATGCTTAAAATGACTAGTAGCCGACTGCAAGATGTTATAACACGCGACAACAACGTCGTGCTCGGATACTTCCGAGACGCTCGAACATTTGCTTCTCCTTTGTCTCTTCCGGGACGGCACCGTGTCGTGAGAATCGTCAAGAGGCTCGAACGGAGCTGGGTTCTTATCAAAGTAGCGTAAAACAAATCTGAAATGAGAAAACGATATTCTATAAATTTCCCCGGGATACATAAACGGGATACGCTATTAAATATTTAAACAACGCGTTGTGAGAAAACGCCAGTGTGGGCCGCAAGGCAAGATGCAGTGTAGCCCAACTTGTAAATCTTGTTTACTCACTTGCACGTTTATTATTCATTAAATATTTATCTCGGCTTTCGCGCTTTCGCGGCCGCTGTCTTCTTCAGTCGTAATGGCTTCCGGATGGTTGCCGCGTCCGTTTGCGCAGGCACCACACTGCAAACGGACGCGGCAACCACCCGGAAGCCATTAGGACTGAAAAATCTCTTCAATTAGGAAATGAATATCTTCGAAGTTACAAAATTCCTAATTGTATTCTTTTATATTGAATGCAAATCTATCCCATTTGCGTGTATATCATTCAGCGGAGAAATTCGTAAATTGAGATTTCCCAGATAGCAATGCGTGTCTAAAAGACGACGTCCCCATTTGTATAAGCCGCACACACATGCACACAAAACAAGCGGGCGACTAATCCGATCGTCGGACGACCGTGGCGCGACTCTCGGATTGGTCGTTCGCTTTTTTGGCGCGTGCGCCTTAACACGGTTAGGGACGGCATTTATGCCGGTGCGTTTACATGTTTAAGCGGGAAGCACACATTTCTGCACAAGTGCATAAACATATGCATAACAAATTTGATTGGTCCGTTTCCTTATGCATTTGCTTATAGACCAATTAACTTCGTTATGCATATGCTTGTGCAGTTATGCAAAAGTGCGTGCTCCCCGCTTAAGGCTTGATTTCACCAACGTCGCTTAACTTTTCACGTTTGCCTCTTTCTAAAATAACAGCTGAGAAGAGGCAAAGAACGAATTAAGCTAAGCTTAAAGTTAAGCGACGTTGGTGTAAAACTGGGTTTTAGGGCCAGTTTCACAAACATCGGTTAACAGCTAACTGAAGATTAATTGATTCCCCCTGTCTCTTCTTAGATAACTAAATAGAGAAAGATAGGAAGTTGACATTCGTTAACAATTAACCAACGTTTGTGAAATTGGTGTCTTAAAGATGCCTTTTAGTTATGCACGCTATCTGGGTTCTTGCTTACTTGCAAACATTTAACACATCGTAGGATTTCACGAAGTAAACTTGTTATTACAAAATGTATCGTTGTTAAACTTGTGAACTTACTGAAAACTATCATATAGAAACTTTGCACAGTACAGAACATATATATATCGATACGAATACTTACACTAGTAAATCTTGATTGACTTTAACCAGCTTTCCTAATACAACACAGTTTAATCTGTGAATAGCATTCTTGTCCATTAATGTTGACGACTGCACGTCGTCCACAGGTATCGCTAAGGAAACGAGCGCTGGTAACAATTCTGGGAAACAGTCAGCAACGTCTTGCGTGCACTCTATTTGCATCAAAAATTCACGCAGTATGTCCAGAATTTCATCGAGTTGCAATTCATTGAATTCCTGTCAAGAATTAGATAAATAGACAATTAAACTTAAACTAATTTCAGACGTACAATTCGCCGAGGATTGAAATTAACAAGTACAATTAAGAGATTCGATTAGCGGGAATGTACGATACGGCAAAATTAAAAATAGCGATAATTACGTGTAGAAAAGGCGAGAGTCTCTCTTTATATTTCTGCTCTCGCTCGCAGAAAATCGTCACGTTCTCGGTCAACATTTTGCTATCTCGGAAATTTGAACAGATTATTTGCAGAAACGGCGAACGTTGTCAGAACAGAGTGGCCGGGGAGAACATTTTCTCTCGGATGGATTTTTCCAGCTCTGAAAGAATATACGGCACAATCAAGTCTACTCTGCAGTGCTTAAAAACAGGTTACTTACAAGCGCTAGGAACGTGAGAAACACGTGTACGCGGTCCAAGCGGATATACGTTGCTATGCACCTTCACAACTTTTTAACTGCACTGGCTGCACCAGTTCAGAACTTATCTTCCTCCCTCCACATCATTAGTGAGTTCGGCTAAAAAGAACAAACCCAGAGTTTGTTCAGTTGAACTTTAACTGGAGATAGTGCAGGATATATGACCTTGCGCTATGATTGGTCAAATCTGGAATTTCATTGAATGAAATTTCAATGTGATGCTATAAAATTTCAGATTTGACCAATCATAGCACAGGGTCATTTTAATCTGGATAGGACTTGGACCAAGTTCTAGCATCGTGAACACAGGCCAAATGCCTTGTGTCCACGATCCAAGAACTGTGTTCAAGTTCTAGTTCCGAGAAATGCGTAGCCAATCACCTTGCAGCTTTTATGGAATAGCTGCAGATTGATTGGCTACACATTTCTCGAAACTAGAACTTAGACCAAGTCCTAGCATCGTGGACACAGGCCTTTAAAGCCTTCAAGAACTGTGTCCAAGTTCTAGTTCCAAGAAATGCGCAGCCAATCAACTTGCAGCTTTTCCATAAAAGATACAGGTTGATTGGTTGCACATTTCTTGAAACTAGAACCTGTGGAGGCTTAAGGCCTGTGTCCACGATGCCTAGAACTTGGGCGCAGTTCTTGGATTGTGGACACAAGGCTTTAAAAATTACTTCAAGTGTCCAAAATTACTCTAAAATTTCCTAAGTAAACTTTTAACTTCTTTAAATAATTTTTTACGTTCAAACTCTTAGATTTGAAAGATTACTTTTAAAAACTTCAATTTCATTTAGGGTAAATTTTCCCAAGGGATTGCACTGTAGTGAAAATGCTAAAAGTGAATAGCTTTGTCTCTTTCTAACCGTCCCCTTAGAAAGAGACAAAGTCGTTCACTTTCAGCATGTTCACTACATTGTAAGATACAGAATTGACTCCCTCTTCTTAATTTTGAAAATTTTTTAAATTGTGTGCTCACTCGCTCACTGTGTATCTCATATGTGATCCATATAATTAAGTAATCTTAAGAATTACAATATAGACCCCTCCCTGGGATTAATTTTTACCTTTAACTTTCGTTCATTCTTATTTTCTAACTTGAGCTACTTGATTCTTAACAATTTTACTTTTACAAAATATATATTTTCTACTTCCTCGCGCATTCTCTACGAAACTGTTAGTATAAATTAAATGTACAAATTACATTCGACTTTCCTACATTAATAAACGAATGATTACCTAAACATAACTTATTTCCATATGTAATTGACAAATAATAATTGACAAGACCAACATACTATCCTTTATGAAGATCCTTCATGAACAGCATTAAATAATTCCAATTGTCGAAGGTTTATTGTTGATATAAGAAAAGTTACACAACGTATGAAAACTATCCATTGTATCCTAAAATTATTCTTTTAAGTAAGCACCTCGAAAACTTATTCAATAATCGAAGTCAAAAACTTAGTAGATCCGCATGTGTCTTGAACTCCTCCTGGATTCTCCTTTCGATTCCCGGCAACGCAATATTGTCCGCGGTTACGTTAAAACTAACATAGATCGGTTTTCCAAGCTTCGTGCTCAATCTCTTAGCCATGTTCATGGACGTGGTATCGGCTACGGAGCCCATGATTTTTGTCGCGATAGGCTGCCTCTCAAACCTGGACGCGAGTGCAAAGGACAGGTCCGTCATGCTGCGCTTGGCGGAATCTCCAATCCACAGGTACAAGCTGTCTTCCATCTTTATTATCTGGCAATTAATGCTGAGATCACAGACTTTGGCGACAAAGTCATGAAACTTGAAGCTGCACGGTAGCAGCTCCACCTCAGGCCCTTCTCCTGTCGCACTCGCCATCCTTTGTCTCGCTGCCCTCACCTGTAGAGTATTATCTAACTTTAAAATTAGGCCTGGTCTACAACGAGCACAGTCTACAACTGTTAGTCGTTGGTCAGAAGCAGGAACTATATATGCTGGCTCTTTTCCTTTCTGGGTGGAAGAAAAAAGACCGACATCTAGCTCTGACTAACGACTCATTGTAGACCGGGCCTAGGTCTAACAACAAAGCAAAAACGCAAGATGAGTAAATTGGAGCAGTGTCGCAGGTTGATGCATTGATATACCAAAGTTGCATAAATACTTTGCGGCAACAAAGACGTTCTAATTGTTGAGTTCATAGTTAAACATTCTTTTTAGCAGTCTTAAAAAAAAGGCATCATCTTTTGTTAAATAAGACTCAAACTCATCACAAAGAGAACGCTCTACGAGCGATACAAAACCTTGACACGAACCAGACTGTCAAGAGAACCTAAGAGTCAGGCAATCGGCAAGAGGTAACCTCGATACCGATAACCTTGACTTTCAAGTGGCTGAAGTGTACCGCGGCTTGGCCGTCTTCCAGATCGAACAGCTTAGTTGAGGGAGTCAGTGGTGCAATTTTTACTCCGGCGCATTTATTTACGCTGTCATGACACACGGGGCCCAGAGACTGCGTTCGGCGAACGTGACAATTGAGAAACGCTCGTCTGCGATTGGCTTATTGTTGCAGATCTACCAATCGCGGATTCCGGAAGTCCATCGCCGAATTTGCTCGTTTTCCGAACGCGGCCCGCCGTTCTCTCTTTGTAACCTATATTCGCGCGCACGTGGCGCTGTCGCGGCGTCTTCTGTTTAGTTCGAGCGGCTGAGACATGAAGGTGAGGCGAGAAGACGCGACGTCCAGGAAGTCGCTCCCGAGAAAAGCTGCCGAGAGCAAACAGAGGATGAAGCCGAAAGCGGGCGCCAGTCTCGAGAAAGCCGTGAAGAATGTCAAGCAAGTCTTCAAGGTGCGACCATAACCTCTGATTAAAAAAATAAGCGTGTTCTTACAATTGTAATTTTCAATTCTCTCGAATATCTGACGGTATAGAAAGACTTTGCTGTTGGATTCGGAGTCGGCGGACAAAGATCTATGGAAAGCGACACGTCTCATCTTCATGTTGCAACTTTAGGGCCTGTTTTCTGTTCCTGCACTGGTGAACTAGTGCAGTAAGCTAGAATGAGAAAAAAATATGCTTGCCTTACTTAATTTATTGCACTAGTCCACCGGTGTAGGAACAGAAAACAAGCCTTTAATGTCGACCTGTGCAATCGCACTGCTTGACGCTCATTAAAGCGTCGTCTACAATACAAATGGAGGGAGCTTGGAGTAAGGAGTAAGAGAGAACTTTTTAGCTTCTGATGTAAGGAAGCTAAAATACAGGCATAAGTTTTTTGAAATATTTGTAACACTGGACGATGGCGTTCTGATTCACCGAGAGTAAGCGTAAGAGCTGAAGTACGAGTAAGGAATAAAATTGTTTTATTTCCTTACTCGTACTCCTTACTGCAGACTTAATCCGTGCATTGTAGACGACGTATTGCAATTGATACAATTGCTCGAATAAAATGTAATCTAACCCGCTACTAATGTAGTAAATGTTTCTTATAGCTGAAGTGAATATTTGTTTTACCAATGTAGAAAATTGCCTGGCGACCCATGGCTGGCAAATTCCAATTAAAGAAATTCATTGCGAAAAATAATACCTCAGCCAGGGTTTGAACCTGGACCTCCCCCTACACTCTAGGCGGGCGTCTCAACCAATTCGACCAATATTTGTTTTATAGAAAAAGAGAGCGGAAGCTAAAGCCGCCAAGAAAAAGGAGACGCGTTTAGTGAAGCCTAAATGTAAGCAGTTCAAAGCGCAAAACTTGAGACCCAGAGGAGTAGTCTACGTAGGGCACATACCTCATGGATTTTACGAGGAACAAATGGAAGACTACTTCAAACAGTTTGGGAATATAACACGGGTGCGAGTGGCGAGATCCAAACGAGTACGTATAGGTCTAAATGGATCGTAAACCGTTTAACGACTGCGCAACAAGTTTTAAAAGAGAACATATTTCCAGACTGGCAAGAGTCGTGGCTACGGCTACGTTGAGTTCCTTCATCCACAGGTTGCTAGAATTGCGGCAGACACCATGAACAATTATCTCATGTGCGGCCGATTGTTAAAAGGTGCTGCTTTATTTGATTGTACTAATATTGCGCCGATCGATTCGCGCTTCCCGCTTATTCGCAGTGTATGTATTTCAGCTACGTATATTCCACCCGAGAAGCAGCACTTTGGATTTTTCTCAGGCGAAAACTGGACAGCGGATAAATATCCTAAACTGAAAAACAGGAAAGAGGTAACGCTGAGTAGAAACAGTCTTCAAAGTGCCGAGGATCACGTGCGATACGCTCAAAGCTCGCTCAGTAAACTTTCTGCGTTGGAGAATAAACTGAAAGACAAAGGAATTAGCATGAAGTTTCAACCCGTCGATGTACCGGAGACGTAACGGATTACATTTCAGAATGTAACTTAGCTTAATTTTATTTATAAGTACTTTATATGGTTGATTATATTTGCATTTAATGAACAATAGGAATCTATGTGATACTCTAAAATATCTATAACATTGTTATGATGAAATTCTAATCTTCTGTCCAATTGCATCTGTATAAATTATTATGTACAGTCAAATCTAAACGCATTGATTAACGCTCGAGAAATATATGTCACGATACAATAGTTGTTTCCTGTACGGCAGCCGTGCTCCCTTTCGTTCGCTTCCATTTCATACGCCTGTTCTGAAACCACACTTTCACCTGTAACAAGGATAGTTTTACCGATAAGAAGATATGAAAATTCTACACTTGTCTATTTAACTGTTTGTAATCTACCTGACGTTCCGTTAAATCTAATGCCACGGCAATTTCGTAGCGGCGCAAACGTGTCAAGTAATTGCTGTGAGCAAATTCACACTCGAGATGTCGGACCTGTTGCTTCGTAAACGCGGTTCTCTCCTTCCGCGGCTTATCACTCGTCCTCTTCGTTGTTTCTGTTGACAAGAACATTATGAAAATCCTCGAGTGTTACATGTGAATATACGAGATCTTCATGGGTGTATCCAGCGGAGAGCAGGGGGGGGAGGGGGGCAGCTGCCCTCCCTAGACTCAATGGGATCCCCGACATATCGCTAGAGTTTATGCCTATAATGTAAATTATGACTTCATTATGTGTTGATCAAATATCGATATTTTTACACTAAAAGAATTACGAAATAGTAAGAGTAAAATTATTAATTGTATTTTTCAGCAATTTTTCATTAAGAAGTAACCTGGGTTTTAGTTAAATTCAATAATTTTGTAATTACTTTTTAACGGGATACTTTAACTTTTCTCATATTTCATAACGTTATATCGAGGTTTATTTTGCTAATACTACTATGAAATCGATGAAAAGTGAAATGAAAATGATTGAACAATTTCTGAATGTAAAGCTCAAAATAAAACTGAATTTTCCTTGTAAAATCCAATACAACGCTATGAAATATGAGAAAAGTTAAAGTACATCGTTGAAAAGTAATAAAAAAAATTATAAAATGTTAGATATGATACAAATTATTGAATTTAACTGAAAACTGTGTTACTTTTTAAAGAAAAATTGCTGAAAAATAATTTTTACTGAAACGTTGATGACATAATAGCGAAACGAAATTAATTGACACATTTTCGAATGCATTTTATTACATTTTTTTAACAAAATATTTCAGGGCAATTAGAAACTGGCTCACACGGGTTCCAGAAAACCACCCTCTCTGGATGGTGCTTTCGATTCGAACACGAGCCCTTCCCCTCATCCCTCCCCGTTCGCATTAAGAGGACGGTCCAGTTTCATCCCGGATGGTGACATAACGCGTTCATCATCCGGCTCGATCTTCTTGCCACGTGGTTTTCCGCGGCAAGATTTCGCGGCTCGTCGGCGACTTTTTGTCGCCGGCCGCAGATGAAAATAACCGCGCGTATAACGATGCGTCAGTGCACCGATGTGCACCCGCTTGCGAAACCCGCCTTTGCTGGAGGCGCGCTTCTCCACCGCGCGATGCGACACGTGGCCGCCGAGAGAGCGAAAGGCTCTCTTTCTCCCTCCCCCCCCCCGTCTCTCTCTCC